AAGAGAGACCCTGGTTGGGTCTGGTCACGTGTCTCCCAGAATCTGGGAGATGACAATTAAATTAGTGAAGGGATGGGTGGCCTAGTAGGAATTTTGTCTATACTTAGCCCGCGGGAGTGCAGGATGTGTTGTCACCAAAGTAAACCAAGAACGATATGTTCTGCGGCAATGTCCGGAGGTAATATTCTGCAAACGCCGAGGAAAACTTATCCATCATCTAATAGCAGAAATCCAAGTTGCTGAAGGTTGTATGGTTCAGTGAAGGACGTTACATATTGTAAAAATCTCCTCAAGAAGGCGAATGGAGAATTGCACACTGCAGCCGAGGCTGTGTATCGAAGATCTTTGACTCATCTTTACCTCAGAATGAAGTGTAGGTCTTGTGAACGGCGATTAAATAATTTTAGAGAATTCAGGGCCTGTTAATTGATCACTTTGAAAGGAGTGAAAGGGTGAAAAGATTTTTTGAAGTTTCACCGCGCGGCCGGCACCCCAAACTTTGCAGAGCGTGAAGAATAATACAACAAACTCGTCGCGTCTGCATTTTGCCTTCATTGCTGATAAACTGGATTTATCTTCAACCGAAAGGAGGCTAGAAAAAGAAAAAATAATTTTTATTGTGTCGTTAATAAATTAGTGTACGTGACTCCAACGGTTCGTGACAATTGTGCACATTCTCATTTAATTTTTGATCTCTCGACCTCTCTTTGCTTCACATGTGTTTCTGAGGGGCACATTTTATGCCGTGTTATAAGAAGAAATGGAAATGATTAGTAGAGCGGAGTCATTTGATTGTGTTACAGCATTTTTAGAGGTCGTATGTCTGCATGGTTTCTGCTGTTAAGTGCACGTCGCTTCTCAGAGTTTGACACCTCTGTAATTTGCCATGCCATGCTTATACTTTGTTTAGGTTTGTTTCTATTGCAGCATATGTTTTAAGGCTCTAAGTATTGGCTCTCCAGGGACAAAGATTAAAATAGTCTGGCAACATATTGCTTACTTGCATTCAATATTGTGGTGCCACAGGTGACTTCGGGCCCGCCTATTTGATTAGAACTGTTTGCAAAGTGTGTTGCACGAATATCATATTTATCTTTGTCCAGCTTTTCTTCAGAGACTGCTGTAGCTTTACTTTGAGAAAGCTATACGTTTTCCTAGAGACATTCTTATGTTTTTTGCATCAATTTGATCATGTGCATTCAAAGGAAAAACAACAATTACTATGGGATGTAATTGCACTGCTCGATGCCCACAGTTGAAATATGAGTGACTTTCCATAAATCTAGTGGGTGAGATGGCAACACTGAAAATCACGAGCACTAAATTGCCTTGAGATAGACTTGCTTAACCTTTAGGTAAATGTTGGAATAGATATTACTCAAAATTTCAGCTTGAAAGCTAAATATTGATAAATGCCGCGGATAATGGCAGTCGCAGCACGATACTTTGAATTCGACAAAGCTCAATGCGACAAATTGCTGATTACAAAGGACCCTTCCCTGATTTTCTCAATTGTCAAAGTGGCACGTGACCAGACCCAACCAGGGTCTCGCGTCGCTCACTCCAGAGACCCTGAGAACGAGGTTGACTGGTTTTCAGCTGTAGTTTCTGTCTCAGGAGGTGACTAGGAATTTTGTTCTCCTCCCTGGATGGGATGCTAGTCCTACCTAGGGTTTCTCCCTAGCAGTTAATCAGTTGGTTCCCATTTTTACTTCTGGTGTGAGAGAACATGACACAATTATCTACCCAGGGTTCAAACTTGTAAGCTCCTCAACCTGGAGTCTAGCACACTAAACATTAGGCAACTGTACATTCCAAACTAAGGATGGTATAAAAACAAACAGACTGATTTTGAATGATTTTATTTCTATGGTTCATTGATTCAGTTTACAACACATAATGAGGTTTGAGCTTTTCAATCCATAATGATGGGGCTTGTATATATATATATTGGCAAGGTGCTCAGAAGGCAGCATCCTTGCAGTGCTGTACAGGATTGTCAAGAGTTGCCAGCTACAAGGGTGGCAAAGGGTTATTGTGTTACAAGAGAAAAGGACAAAAATTAGTGTTTGACATGTGAAAATCAAGTTAAAAAAGTGCATGATTTATGAATTTATAAGAAAACCATCGTTTAAAGCAGCTAAAAGTTTGTGAGACCTGAGTTTGTTGAAATTTATATGCAAAACAGGATCACACTCCACACCCCACCCCTCACCCCCTTATTGGCTACCCTTGACTACCAGTAATAATTACCTTCTACTTTACAATTTCAACTGGCTACTTTGTTGAGCTGGTTGTGTGATTCTTTAGAAGAAGTTAAAAAATTAGCTGCCTACTCAGGGTTGTAGCTAAGAAAATAGTCCTGCCTAAGATTTCCATTGGGCTGGTCACCATTTTTCATGAGAGACTGGGAACAAAATTTTCATCCCCAATCTTTTGCAACACCTTGAATGTGGGGCTACATGTACCAAGCTTCGAGTTTACAAGCTGGTGGATGCAGTACACAGAAAGAGAACATGATAAACTAGTGCTCAAAACAAGATTTTATTTCAATTACTTTACTCGTTATAGTGGCACCGATACTCAAGGTAGTCAGGAATTTATTCCAAACTTTTCATTTTGACAGTTTGATATGGTTTAAGTATGGAATGATTGTACGTGCGTAACCTAAATGCCGTTCATTATCCTTTAGCAAGTTACCGCCTGCCAAAATCCAGCCAGCAGTCACCTCTTTCTCAGCCAGCGAATTTTGCTGGTAGCTGCCGCTTAGTGACAATCTGTCTGCTCCGAATGTAAATCTGCATACTTCTAACCTTTGTGGAAACCTTGACTGTATATCAATTTTCTAACTTTGTTTAGGAGATATGTTCATTCTTGCAGGAAACAAGGTTCAGACAGCGTTATTTAGACCTCATTCTCAATGACAAAGTACGGCAGAAATTTATTGTCCGGGCAAAGATCATCAACTATGTCAGAAAGTTCCTTGATAGTTTAGGATTCTTAGAAGTAAGTGGATTGTGCAGGCTCTTTGTTGTTTTTCAATGTCCTCAGTGAGGGTATGAACTAATGGCGCATACAAACTTGAGAACATATAGCACATAATTATCAGTTTTAATAAACCTCAGTGACTTCCAGGTAATCCTGTAGGATTCCCATCAGAAAAAAAAACAACAAACTTAATGTGGCCATCTAGGCCAATTTTTATATATAATTTATTATTGAGGTTTGAACAGGCCTGCAAGGTTTAGGGAACTAACTAAAGCAAAATAAATCATGTTGAGGTGTTAGACAGTTTCTTTATTGTGATTCAGTCCCCTAAGATTCAGTACTGTATTTGAATAGTTTAATATTGTGGAATTAGGCTACCAAGTTAGCCTCATTGAGAGTAACTGGTGACAATCCTTCTAGAAAAATATATTAATTACCGGTAAATTTATTTCCAACTGTACATCAAAAGTAAAAGTAAAGATGATTTATAAGTATACAGTGTAAGAGGTTATAATTTTGATAACAGGAGTCATTTATGTCAACAAATTAAATACCTGTATCGTGGTTTTCTTTTTTCCTGGAATTAAGAGTGCTCTCTGAATCTCTCTGACAATGTTGTGATTATCTGTTACAGGTAGAAACCCCTCTGATGAACATGATCCCAGGTGGAGCAACAGCCAAACCTTTCATCACTCACCATAATGACCTGAATATGGATCTCTACATGAGAGTAGCACCTGAGCTTTACCACAAGGTCAGCTAATGTTCATCATTCTGTAACTAAATCTGATACTGGGTTGTTGGTACACTTCAGGATAGGAGGGGAATGTTTCATGGTATATATTGCATTCCTCGCTGTCTTTTCTGTACTGTTAAAGAGACTTGCATATTTAATATTTCTTATTTTATCTTTTTTCAGATGCTTGTAGTGGGAGGCATTGATAGAGTGTATGAAATTGGAAGACAGTTTAGAAATGAAGGTAATCAACATTAATGAGACGTAAGTTACATAGCTTTGTACAGAACAGCAACAAAAAGATCGCTGCAAGCCTATATGAGATACTGCCTTCAAGTAGAGTCAGTTTTCATTTTTCTGTGATAATAGAAATGTACACATGCTCAGTGTTTCAGCCAGAAAATTTTACTTGAGGGCCAAAGTGGCCCCTGAAGATCTTTTTGAGGGGCCAATTTTTTAGGAAAGGGGCCAATAAACTGAAAGCTCAAGAAGAAAAAAGTGCATCAGGGTACCAAGGAAAATAAAGCAGTTTATTAGGATCTATGGTAAAATTTAATAGTAACTGCTTTTTGAAGGGTTTCTACTCAATAAAGTTTCTTTTGAAACAGATACTAGTAGGAAGGATCCGTGCATTACAAGAGAACAATCCTTAGGCCAACATGACGTAGTCAATGATCAAGGGTTTGCAATGCATTAGAGGGTGATTTCAACCACGGTCAGCCATTTGGAAGTTTTCTGATATGAGAGAATCAATACAGCAAAGCAAATGGACGGATTGACTTTTTTTCTTATGTTGAATGTTTTAGAAACAAAGATCTTTCAATATGATTTTCTAGAAGGACATAATGTGTGACAAAATAACCATTTTTGATTGTCAACACAGAGAAATGTAGTCGCCATTATGCCGTATTATGGCGACTAAACCAGAATTTTTGGTCGCCAAGGATGAAATGCTTGTAGCATTGGGGACTGTATCGATCACAATTTCGAGCCCTGAGATGGCTTTTGAAATATTATGCCTGTGCCAAGCCTGCAGTCTTTTAAAAGGAAAGGGCCAAATTGGCCCTTTTTTCATTTTTCTAGGGGCCATCTCTGATTGTAACGCGGGATTCCTGCAATGGTGCACTCTGGCAGAAACACTGCATACTCCAGTTCAATGTATGACGAAAGAAATCAATGTAATAAATAACTCTTCACTTAAAATCATCCCTCTTGTTTTCTCCAGGTATTGATATGACGCATAATCCAGAATTCACCACCTGTGAGTTTTACATGGCCTATGCAGATTACAATGATCTCATGGAGTTAACAGAAGTCATGTTATCTGGTAAGTAACGACAACTTAGACTCGTCTAATAATAAATCCGGTGTTTGTAAACACGCTAAAGAAAATGTTAAAAAGGTCTTGGACAAAAGTAGTGTTTGGTCTCCTTAGAGCAGAGTTTTAAAAGTTCAAGGTTAAAGATAATGTGCAAAAAAGCCTGGAATGTTTTAATCCTGTTTTGACATGGTTGCTTCATGTACAATTGTACATGTATGTATGAAATAGGAAGAGAGATCAGGAGTGAAAGTGAAGTCAGATATGGAAGTTCATGTGATTTTCTGCAGACTCCCAGACCAAGCTATGGTCGATGTGCAGAGATAACATTGTGATCTAAACGGTATTGTGAGCAAATGACTAGCACTGAGAACATTTTTCATCTCTGTGATGGCTTTTCTTCAGGTTTGGTCAAGTCATTAACAGGTGGCTATGTGGTGACATATCATCCAAATGCAACTGACCCTGAAAACATGGGTGAACCTCTGACAGTAGACTTCACTCCACCCTTCAGAAGAGTGCGCATGATTCCTGATCTTGAAAAGGTGCTGAATGTGAAGTTACCACCACCATCTGATTTTGGGACCCCAGGTAATGATAGTGTTTAAGTTTTTTTTTTTTTTTTTCACTCTATTTTCATTTTGAGGGTGGGGAGGGGACACCCTTTGACTGCTCTGAACTACAGTGTGCTTTTTTCAAATAAACCACACCTATAAACAAGCCAGAAATGAGCCAAGAAACACAAGGCATGGAGTGTGTCACTGAAATCTTTAAATCCTTACCTCTGTCCTGACAAGAAACTTAAAATTATATTTTTGTTATGTTCCTTGTGATCAACTCAGATTATAAATAATAGGAATTGGTAGTGGTGCTTCCCTTGGAAAGGCTGTTTGCCAATTGTGTTGAGATTAAAATGGAATTTAGAAGTGTTGAGTCTTTCGGATTGTGGAAAAGCTGAAAACCTGGGGAGGGATAAACCCTCAGAGCAAAGATGAGAATGAATACCAAACCCTGTGCCAACCATGTGTTATCCCATCACCAGATTGTTAAGCACTTCCCTCTAATCGTGTGCTTTGGGTTTGTTTGAACTGTCATTAAATGTTCTTTATTTCCTTTGAGGTTTTTTCTCCCAGTTCTGCGTGCTCTTTTCTTCTTTCTTAATCTATTGAAATGTGTTTTAATTTTATTTCTCCATGTTGAAAGCAAAGAAAATAAAGTTGTTAAGGCCTTAAAACACTTCTCTGCAAAGCAACATGACAATATTGGATATTGTTTGATTGTTCATTTGTATTTACAGTGTAGCCTTTTGTTTCTTTTTTTCAGAAACACGACAATTTTTTGATGACTTGTGTGTCAAGCATAATGTTGACTGCAGTCCTCCAAGAACAACAACAAGACTCCTAGACAAGGTAAGTGTCAAGGTCTGTCTGTAATTTACATCATTTATTTGGACAAACTTGTGTGCAAGTTAGGGAAACTTTGTATTTCAAAATGAAGAAAAGTCGGAATCATATTACATTTAGCACCTGAGAAAAGAAAATCTAAATTTCTTGTGAAAGTGAAGAAAAAGTTGGTGATTTAAAGATTGCATGTAGCAAGTTTTGATATAATGAGTTGCAGGCTTTAAGCCAGATGGGCATCCAGGCATCCTGTGGACGGCCTCTTATTAAAGAAAATTGTTTTATTTATTATATGTTGCCTTATAAATTGTTCGGTTGAGGAGGCCCTATAGCACATTTTGGACGGCCACCTTTCAAAGCCTTGACAAAAGTAAAATTGATGAAGCACAAATTGGCTTCCTTTTATTTAACTCACTCAGATCACTTTTGCTGTTCTCAGTGAAAATTTATTATTATTTTTTTTATCATGGTTGGCAGTTGTAGTAACGGCTGTTGTATTAACCTCTAAGTAAGGTTGATAGCCAAGTTATCATGCACATGCTCTTCTATCTGTGAATGACCTCACTGGGCATGTGACATAGTCCTCAGGCCTTAATTGTCAACTAAATCACGTGAGGTAAAATCAGCACCCAAGTTAATCACAGCGCTTCCTTTGTGGTGGATTGAAGCTGTTTCATGCCTTGGGAACACATTCTTTTTCTTTGTGTTAGTTCAATAAATGTCATGCCATTTCTTCTTCGTGAATTGTTACATCTGTTACCAAACATCATGATTCTCAAGTTCTACGGTTTGTCACTCGAGCCTTTCAATCCTTCATGTCAACATGCAAATTCTAAATGTTTGAAAATGAAATGAAGCTCACTTTTGCGCTTCAAAAGTTGCCTAATTAACACTCCGTAGAGCTCACAATTTTTTTTCCAGATATTTGCTGAACAGGGTTATTAATCTTTTTTGCATGTCAGCTTGTTGGAGAATTCCTTGAGGAGACATTTGCCAGCCCAACATTCCTCATTGATCATCCTCAAATAATGAGTCCACTTTCAAAGTGGTAAGTCAAAATATGTATCCCCCAGTGGCTTGTATTGTTCCAGAAAATGTCCATACCCCTGGGGGCCCCTCCCTACGGAAAGTTTTTGCTTTGAGCCCTCACCCCTCTGGAATTTTCAGCTTAACTTCACACTTTCCTTAAACAAAATAGCATTTAACATCCCCCACATTCTAAGTAGAGTTAGAGTCAGTTTTTAGTTTGGCAGTTTTAATTACATTCTATGACAGTAAATCTCATATACATGTAGTTTTAAACTTACCTACAAATGAAAGCTTGCGCTGACCATAAACAGGCTATCTGCAATGCTAATCAGTCTAACAGGAGTGCCATTGAGGCTAATTTTGAATGCTATCAATTGTAATGTAATGACACTTGCTGGTTAGCATGCAGTAACAATGTAGTGCAACCATTTTGGCACAAACTGACCTCACCAGGCAAGTTCACTTAAGTTCAGTTACAGTGGACTATTTCACGTGAGGTTAAAGCAAGCTCCTTGACAGAACTTATGAGCTACAGTCTGTTTGATGCTGCCAGTATCAAGTAGCTGATGGTTCAACTGCATTTTGGAAACATTCTATATTTGTTGACTAAAGGCATAAAGGAGATGACTAGCATTTCAGGCTATGCGATTGCCAAGCTAGGGCTCAAGACTTTCTTTTAATCTTTGTTAGTAATGAGAAATTTCAAACCCTAGTGTTCTAGAACATTACCGAGATATTTTTTTAGACTCTTGCCATCTTGCTCTGAAAGCCAGATAATAGGGAATTTTAGCAAACCAAGACGGCGACGGCAACGAGAACGTCACCAAACAAAGGGTTTAATGAGCAGAACCACATTGTTCTGCACGTGCGTTTTGAATCTCTGTATATTTCTTTGCCGTCCTCTGTAAAACAACAACGTGAAATGACAGTCGTAGGTATTTTAGAGAACGTATACCGCAATGGCGAACATTTCGTGTCTTCCTTTTAAATTGAACGCTGTCATTACGTATTTGGCCTGAGCAAGTTTTTAGAGCGATAGGCGTACTGAACAGATCTACACAGTTGCGACATTCGAGGATAAACTATAAATACTTTTTTTTACAACGTGTCGTTCTCGGCGTCGCCGTCGTCATTGCTAAAACTCCCTAATGAGAGAAAATCTGGGGACTGAGTTATTGAGGGCTAACCTGGCCGTAGTGTAGGTACATGTAGATGTAAGGAAATTGTTTATTAATTTGAAGGCATTTAAAGATTGTCCTTTGTTATCAGTTTGAAATTGTGTTGCTGTTCCTTTTTTCTGGCTAGGCATCGATCTGTTCCTGGTCTTTCTGAAAGATTTGAGCTCTTCATTTGTCACAAAGAAGTGTGCAATGCATACACTGAATTAAATGACCCTGTCATTCAGAGAGAGATGTTTCAGCTTCAAAGCAAGGTTTGTTTATCAAACTCTACATACATGCTATTCGAAGTTGTTTAACTCTTTATCAAGTCAGTGCATGTAGTCAAAACGCCTTTGATCATGTGGTAAAGAGTTCAGTTTAAGAACCTTATTACATGACTGAGAAAAGTGCTTCAATGTGATTGGCTGAGAGTAGTGCATCCATACTTTATTCCGTTATATAATGAGTAATCGTATGAAATCTCCAGAAATTAAGGATTTACACTACTTATGATATTTTAAAATTCTTTCCAATTGCACTCACCTAAAGGTTAGGGTGCAGTTTTCAGAGTTTTCAAGTATCACTTGTTGTGTAAATTCTTAATTACGCTCATTCATTTGATTACCTGATATACTTTTTGCACCTTTCACTCATTCATTGTTAATACCGTTATTCACCTCACTGGGCAAGGGACATAGCCATCAGGCCATAACTGTCAACTAAATCATGTGAGGTAAGATTGACATCCAAGTTAATCACAGCGCTTCCCTTGTAATGGATGGACGTTGTTTCATGCCTCGGGAACATCAGTCTCGATGTTGTTTAACATCTGAACCTGCCACATAATATCATCAATACTTAGTTAATTTTAAAAGTATACAGGTGGGAGAATCAAGAAAAGCATTACTGATCTACTGCCAAATTCTGAGAACTAAGATGAAAAAAATATGTGGTAGGGAGGGACAGTTTCTGTTTTTGAGCGTGGCCTCTTTCATTACTTATCATAGAATATTGTAATTTTATTGGTTGTAAAAGTTAAATCCATTGAACTATTGGACAACAGTTGTGCAAACTTTGTTCACAGGCTTCAGATGTTGATCAACATCTGAACTTGCCGCATAATATCAATACTTTACCAATTACACAGGTGGAGAGAATAAAGAAAAAAAACTGAATGTGTTTGCTTTCACGTAGGACAAAGCTGCAGGCGATGACGAGGCAATGTTTGTCGATGAAAACTTCTGTACAGCTCTTGAATATGGTCTGCCACCCACAGCCGGGTGGGGCCTGGGGATAGACAGACTGACCATGTTCCTGACAGACTCGAACAATATCAAGGTTTGTTTTAGTTACATGTATGTCCACCAGGTCTTGGCCAGTTCCGTTACAGCTGTATCCTTGACGAAAAATGCTGCAAAGTCGTATCGATGCTTTTGTCTAGGCCTCGTCTTTCTCGACAAACCAAGTGACCCGAAAACCGACGAAGAAAAGAAGCGCAGGGGATACCAAGCCTGCGAGAGAACGTTTGGGGAGAACACGCGCGAACGGCGAAGCAGCGAGAAAAGCGCCTCTACACCAGACTTCTCCCCGTCAGATCGCGTTGCTCGCGCGTGCGACTCGAAGGCGAGCCTGCTCGTAGGCTAGGGTATACTCATAACCAGCTGCTAAACTGCTGCCTTGGTGTTGTGAAAGAATTCAAAAATTCACAGGAAGAGGAGGGTGCCAAGAGATAAGAGCTCATTTGGACAATTATTATAATGCGTTATGTTGCTACACTTTGTTATGGCAATGCACCCAATGTTTACATCTTAAATCTGGGTCACCTCTTTTTCGCTAACCGCGAGACGTCACACTATACGAGATCGGTCTTTGATAATTATACGTAAGTTCTCGCAACTAATACCTGTAAAGATGTATGAAGATCCGTAAGGAGAATTTCCATTTGAATCCAGAGTGATAGGATTAAGCTTTTATTCTGTTTGTCGTAGGAGGTGCTTTTCTTCCCAGCCATGAAGCCAGATGACGGGGGACCAGCTGAACAAAACGAGACAGAAGTGAATCCAGGAGAAAAAGAGAAGAAGTAAAAATACACTTGGCCTCGCCAATTTACTCACAGATTGAAAAGGAATGACAAAAAAATATATTAATAATAATCCATTAGATAATGGTCATTAATTCATTAAAGATGACCGACGGTCAAGTGGAAGAGCAAAAGCACAAACAAATGCACCAAGCAGAAGATTCAGGACAATGCAATGTACTTCTCTTTTTAGAAAGGAACATTCAATTAAATCTGTGTCATACCATGTGTGACGAACAGTCCGGACAGCACTGTAAAGTTCTCTCTGACTTTTCAAAGGAATTTCGAAATCTTACAGAAATTCATAATTGTTTTCGTTTATTCTAGAGAACGATAAAAAATCTCACGTCAATCTGACGTTTTCTCTGACGTGTGATGAGGCGTTTTTTTTTTTTTTTCTTTTTTACCTCCTCTTCATCCCTGCCGAGAAAAAAAAAAAACGATCGCCTGATCGCAAGTTACGTTTTGCGTAGAAAGTAGTGCGGTAATCTGTTCGTTGAACAGTAAGCTGGGTTTGTAGTGTATGAATCGTGTAGCTATACTATCCTAACGTGTAGCAAAATTAGTTATTTTAATCGAGTTATTTAATAACCTGCTGTGGCCGCGTATCTCGCACAATAATAATTATTCCCTTGTCCTTATTTTTACTCATTGTGCTTCCAGCTTCAGTGGGGAATAATGATTGAAATAAAGTCAACTAGCCCAGCTTGTGGACTTGCACCTTTTTTAAGACCTCTATAGTGACTGGTTCTTGTTTAAGTTTAAGTTTAAGTTTAATAATACTTTGTCATGCTAGTACAAGTAAATAAATCACAGAAATTACAAAAAGTACATGACTGGAGAATTAGGCCATTTTCGATACATTAAAATTCTAACTTGGCTGTGAGGCTTGGGTGAATAAAACAAAAGAAATCACATCGAGGTCGAGTGATGAATAATTAATTTCTTTTGTTTTATTCTCCCAAACCTCGGAGCCATGTTACAATTTTAATATATCGAAAATGGCCCAGTATTGGGGGAAACTAAATTCCCATAAAAGAATATTCTCCGATATTAAACATTCTAAAAAGATTAAGAAGTGAAATTTAAATGATCTGCACCTCTCTTGTTTAAAAGCCAGGGGCATCGTTTTGTGTTGTTTACCTATTGCTTCGTTTGGCCAATTATAAAGAATCTTGTAAACGGTGCTGGTCGCTCCCTAAAAGAGGGTGATTTTGCACTTAGTGGTCGCTGTCCACCTCGAAGTTCGTAAAACATACTGCGCTTGGCGTCGTATTTTTAACTCTCTTCTCGGTGTTTGGAAATGTGATCAAACACGGCTTTTGATATGGTACTACAATGACTGATTAACACAGATCCTTTTTGAACTGTTCAGTAATTTGGAGAGAATATAAAACATGAACTATAACTATTGTAGTTTCTTTTATTGTACAGACTTGTGAACTTATAGGTGCTATATTACAATCACATCTATTACATGCGTTTGAAGATAATCTTTTTTAGTCCGTGTGTATTAAAGTGAGGGTTAGTTGTGCTAGCTTTCAAAGCATTCTTCAGCAGGGATGACTGAGTTATAGTGTTCTCCAAGACCATATGCATGGTGATGGTACCTAGAAGATTAAATCACAGGTAATTACTCAGTTTCTCATCAGGTACCAGTACTTAACCTGTAGTTAACTTTCTATAATTCCCGCCTCGTCCCCAGGCGCGGCTGCATTTCGTCGGCGAAGAGCGAGAGAAGCAAGGAGCGCGGTGCTTGATGGTTCGTCAGGCGCCTGGCATCAGGACGAGGTAGCTGTGTTTCGATACAGCGGCGGGCGTTTTAGGGGCCTTAGGAGTGAACAGGTTTCGCATGCGTCTTCAGTTATTAATAAAGAGAAACAATCGTCAAGCTGGGACTTTGTAACTGAAACCCCATGACGTTTGATTCCCTACTCTCCCCTTCCACTCAACAACGGACAAGAATGATGCAATAACCATTAATAGAGAAAAATAATCCATTCATTTTTCATCCGCGTCACACCTGACTCAAAAGCTAAGGGTAGCAAAATGGCTTTGTCTTTAATTTTGCCTCGTTCGTCCTGGCAGGAGACCATTGCTTGGTCCTGGTCTCAACAAGAAACAACGACCTAGCAAGCTTAGAAGTCTTCTTAGAACCATCATGTTAGACAATATGGAGTTTATGAAACCACGACGGCGACGCCGAGGACAACGTCGATTAAAAAATGAATTTATATTTTACCTACGAATCTCGTGACACTCTAAAGTCATTTACTTTGTTTATCGCTGTCAAACCTATCGCAAAACTAAATCCGGAACACAGCGATAAATTTGAAATAAAATTTAAAAAATTAGTCGTCGTGGTTCACGTTCTTCAGACAACGCAAAATTTGATCATTTCACGTTGTTGTTTCGCAGAGGACGGCAAAGAAATGTACCAAGAATTATAACGCACGTCCACAGCCATTGTACTGCTCAGTAATTCTTCTGTTCAGTGACGTTCCCGTTGCCGTCGTGTTTTCGTAAACTCCCTAATAACACTTACGAGAGCGAAATTGGTTGTGATTCATATTCCTCTCCTATTCTTAAAACAGGAGCGTGAGCTTGGTAAACCTCTATTGGCATCTTCAGAGCTTGAGACAAAGCCTGGATCTATTGGGAAATCAGAACCACGAGATAATGAATCAACTGCTAAAATGGCAATTGACATAGCGGCTATAGCCTGTGAAAAGGCTGCTAAGGTGAAGGGCGAAAAAAAGTCGCCGGGGACGTTCAGCAAGGCGAGCCGAGCGCCGTGTGGTCACCAGAAACATGTTTCGTTGCGTAAAATAAAGCTTCCTTTGTAAATACACAGCGGATTTTGACCGATTACATAATCTCATCCACAAGAAGTTCTTTCATTTCTGAATCGCACTATATATTGCGGACTTCAAATCCTGTTCCAGCTGTCTCTTGTCATCTCTTGTCAGTGTAGCTTCCTCTAGGCGTTCAGTTAGTTGAGACGCAGCGCGAAAAACAGGGAGCGAAAAATAGGGGAGAAGCGCGCCGAGAGAAACGCCTCGAAGAGGCCATTGTTAGTGACAAACTGAATACAAACTTGACTTGCTTAATTTCTCTTTACATGTATTATAACACCATCTGATACACGACATCATTTAATTGAGATGCCGACACTGTCCTACGCAAAAATACGGGGCCTTCAAACACCGCCAAAAAATTTGACTTGTGGCCGAGTTTTTNTTTAGTTTTTTTTGTGAAAATTTTAATGATAACTTGTAGTTCTGTTTCTTAGAATTCTGTTGTTTAGGAAATAACAGATGTAGAATCTCTCACTAGAAACTAATCATATCGTAACCCGGAAATATAAAACATTTCATTTACGTTAGAGGTAGATGTGAAATGGTTTTATTATATGACTGTGTACTTTGGATGTTGACTCATTTTTTTTTGTAATATATGCAGTTGTTAACAAGAGTGTTTGATATAATGCGAGCCAAGAACCCTGAAATGGTTACTGGAGAGAAAAAGAAGTTTGTCATGAAACCTCCTCAAGTTGTCAGGATAGGAACAAAAAAGACATCATTTGCCAACTTCACGGACATCTGTAAAATGTATGTCAATGACAGCTCTGTTCAGTGCAACGTAATTAGATAATAAATTTACAAGGAAAGTGTGTAGGGTTACCCATTCAAATTTTATTAATTTTTGTTAACAACGCCACTTTGTGCCACTTTGTGTTATTTTTGCAGCTTACACAGACAACCAAAACATCTTTTAGCATTTCTTATGGCAGAGTTGGGAACAAGGTATGTGTTATTACATGTAACTGCAAAATGTTGAGTAATGAGTCAATACATACATTGTACATGTACATGTATATATATGTGATAGCAATTTGACTGCTTGTCATCAAGGTTTAGCCAAGCTGACCAGATAACAGAAGAAGGTGGTCATAATGATTTGTTTTGAGATTGCCTCCCCCATTGTTGTCTTTTGATGATTTTTTAATTTTAGTCATCTTTACTGCACTTGCCATCCATAACATACAGTTGTTCAGTTGTAGGCTTCTGAAAATAGTAGCCCAGTGCTCTCAGTTAGGAAGTGTCTTCATTCAGTGTGCAATTCCAGTTTACAATAATTATTCAGTTTTTGAGACTTTCTTAGCTTGTGCTTGATTGTTGTTGTCTGTATTCTACTTTTGCAGTGGTTCAATTGACGGAAACAATCAACTTATCATCAAAGGTCGTTTTCAACAAAAACAGATTGAAAATGTGCTTAGAAGATACATCAGTAAGTAATGTTCGCGTTGTTTTTAGTTTGAACCCAGGAAAATGGCAAGGCTTGTTCTCAAAAGAACTGTTGTTGGTGGCAGTCAAGTGGCACGAAGACACCAACAACAGTTCTTTTCAGAACTACATGTACCCTCACCAGGCTTTTAACAGATGGGCATCCAGGCATCCTGTGGATGGCCACATATTAAATAAAATAATTTTATTTTTTTTCCTTTGTGGCCCTATAAATTGTTCATTTGAGCAGGCCCTATAATTATAGCACATTTTGGATGCCCACTTTTCAAATCCTGGCTTAAAGCCTGACCCTTACTCAAATGATTACACTATTATGAACTGCTGTTTTTAAGTTGGCTGTTATCGAAAAGTTGATATTCTTCTGATAGCTTAGCCAGTATCTTCTAATGTTGCACCCAGAAAAAAAAAGAAAACTTACCCCACAGTAAATGTGAATTGTGCCATTAGTCCACCATTAGTTGACCTAACTCAGGCTCCACATTCCATTACTAGATGCTCTTTTAGCTTGTGGAGTACAATCCATCTCCTATTAGGGATGGGATTTTTTATGTACGTGAGAAGCCAAATGAATATCTAGGAAGGATCAAGCTATATTATGTGAAGCCACCCACCAGTACCCATAAGGGCTTTCGCACCCATACAATAATTGCCTTATGAAGTAGTTGTATTCAGAATTTTTCAAAAAGATTTTTTTACATTTAATTCTCCTGTCTGCTTTGGGGAGGCAGTTAGACAGGTTGGCTAGATTTAGTGATTGATTTTGTATCAATCTAATGCTGCTTTCTTTATTTGTCTAACAGAGGAGTATGTGACATGTCACACATGTCGATCTCCAGATACCATTCTTCAGAAAGAGACTAGGTTATTTTTCATTCAGTGTGAAACATGTGGATCACGACGATCAGTAGCAAGTATCAAATCAGGCTTCCAGGCCATCACACAGAAGAGAGCACAACTGAAAAGCAAGCAGCAGTGAATTACATCTTTGACATGACTGCAGCTGTTAGATTTACTTGAATGTCGACAAATCATAGTACCGCAGGACATGGTGGTCTGTGATCCTTTGAACTAACTAAGAATCACGTTAGCTTGTACGAAGATGGATGGCAAATTGTGAAGAGAATCAAGATTGATGGGGAAAGATTACTTTTTAAAATTTAAAACTGGAACTATTGAAAACATTAGAAATGACTTTGTAAATTTTGTGTGCAGATGTAAGGTGTTCATGTACATACAAAGTGCAAATTTTTCTTTTCTTTAGTGGTTTCACTCATAAGTATACACTTGTATCAAGTGCTTGTGTACTCAGAGTTGCTGAAAAATAGAAGTACGTGATTGTAGAACTGTGTGAAAAAAAATTCAATATTATATTCGTTGTTGTGTCCATTTGTTTTAACAAAGCTGTGTTAGTAAACTTTGTAACAAGTTGGTTTCTACAGGTATATGTAATTATTATCAAGATCTCCTTACAACATTTATTGTCGAATAACATTTTGGGCTCATTCTTTAGATAGGAATCGTACCTGAAGTGACGTAAATAAATTGTAGTGCAATCTGTAAGTTACAAAGTAAGACCTTGCTTACTTTCTCCATTTCTGGATTTCAGATTGTTTTTCTTTTTTTGCTTGCTTGAGTAAGCACTGACAAAACTGGTTGGTAGGCTTTTTCCAGGCCCCTACTGTGATCCAGTTTAGTCAACTTAGTGCATTGCTCTACTCTGGAAAACCTCTCCCTTGCCAAAAAAAGTCACTAAATCCTCAGAGACAAAAAGTCCTTTGATATGGGC